TATTTGCATATTCTTTAGTTATTGCTTTGAAGACCTGAGACTTTCAATCTTCGTATAAAACTTCAACCTTTCATGATAAAATTATGAATCAATTTTTTTATGGGCAAAACTTGAAGATGGCGTTTTGATTAATTTTATAATTTAAAAGTGTTTCCTTACGTAAGCGTATCCGTTCGTTACACTGCAACAAAAAACGACATCTGAAAACATTGGTTCATAACTCTATGAACATACACTTCCATTTTATTCTATAAACGACAAAAAAAAGCTAGAATGTCCCAGTTATAACTAACCTGTGGTGAGTGTTGGTACACCATTTAATTCTACCATTTCAAAAATAATACAGCAGAATGGAAATATTAAAAAGACTACTTCCTGCGGTAAATGTGAAAAGAAATCGTGGACCGTAAGTGTTTACCTCTCGAGCATTGAGAATAATGTAATCTATTATTCGTATAGCTGCATGAAGGAATAAATCCCACATATCACGAAGAACTCAACGAATAGGAAATGTTCCTTTGCCAAGTACCAAGCTTCTATTTACTTTAAGTATGGAGTGCAGCATCTCTGATAGAGTAAACGTTTTTATATAGCAGGAAATTTGTGTTAATAAAGTTTTAGCAACCATCGGGTTGGAACAGTTTCCATGAACGCTTAGTCGAACGTTCACTACTGCTTCGCCACGAGCTTATTCCATTATATTAAAATTTCCAGTGCCGAACTTTAACAATAACTAATTTTTGCTACATAGATATACCTGTAATATACTTTTATTATGTATATTTTAAGACATATATTATTACTTCAGCTACTTTCTTACACCACAGCCAAATAAAGACATTTTTAGGAAGCAGACATAACGTATTTTTATATTTTTTGGGTCGCTGAATTCGAATCTAACTTTAATTTTCCAATGACCTCACGTTTTTGAGATTTCCTAACCTAAAAGGTCAAGGTGCATGAATTTCGGTCAGATTCGGATTCAGCACATCAAAAACCTTCGGGGAAGTATTGTCTGCCTTCTATTTTTTTTCCTTGTTGGCCTGTGTAATTATTAAATTTCGTTTTGTTTATAATTTAGAATATTTGTACTTTTCTTCCCATATAGTTTTAAAATAGAATCAAACCTCTTCATTAAAAATTGTTTATACAGGGTGTTTCTTAATAATGTGCTAATATTTAAGGAGGTTATTCTTGGGTCCATTTTAAGAAAAAAAACTTCATATGAACATATGTCCTAAAAGTCTTAACTTTTGAACTACAGGGTGTTTTTCAAATTGGTACACGCCTTCTATTCATCAAAATGCATTTTCCGATGTACAAACAATTTTATTATTTTTGCCAGTGGCGTCTGTATACGTTTTGTATTGAATATTTTTGAGGAAAAATATGTTACGACACTGCTTTTTCTTAAAGTAAAAATCATTTTTGAAATCCTCATTCCTTTCTGAGCAAATGTGGTGTCTTTTTTTTTTCGTTTGACGTACGGTTTTCGCATAAAAAAATATAATTCATTCATTTGCATCTTATTGGACCACTTATGAGAAAAAAAAAGTTTATGTAACTTTGAACAATAATTTATTTAAGATAATAACTTTTAAACGTTGAAATTATGAAATTACAGTAATCTACATACATTTTGGAATGGTAAAAGAAAATTACCCTGAACGCACAAAGAAATAAATTATATCAGATGTTAGAAATGTCCACCTCCTGCAAATATGCACGCCTCTGCTCTTCTTCTCATGGACTCGCNCATTTTACGCACGAATGGAAAAGTTACGCACGACGCCGCGTAGCGGCGAGTGCGTAATTCTATGAGTGCGTAATTGCATTACACCACGTATTACGTACTATACTTTACCTACGACCACTACTGTAAATACTTAAAAACACACCGTCTGCGATCAATGTAAGAATCCTATTTTACGTATGGTAAAAAATCGCACAGCTTGGTAAAAAATCGTACAGTTTTCCAAGCAACCGCCTAGCAACGTTCAATACAAATAGTATTGTATTGACCGTTGCTAGGCGGTTGCTAGGAAAACTGTGCGATTTTTTTACCGTACGTAATAGGAATCTTACATTGATCGCAAACGGTGTGTTTCTAAGTATTTACAGTAGTGGTCGTAGGTAAAATGCTTTTTACAACATTTATTAAGGTACGTTACTTTAAGATAAAGCAGTAGCGTAACATATTTTTCTTCAAAAATATGCAATACAAAACCTGTACAGACGCCACTGGCAAAAATAATAAAATTGTTTGTACATCAGAAAATGCATCTCGATGAATAGAGGGCGTGTACCAAATTTAAAAAAATATCTAGGGTAATACCAAAGTTATCATAAAAAAATGATTTTTCATAAAATTTTAGCACGCTGTAGTTCAAAAATTAAGACTTTTATGACACATGTTCATATGAAGCTTTTTTCTTAAAATGGACCCAAGAATAAACTCTTTAAATATTAGCACGTTATTGAGAAACACCCTGTAGAGTAAAAATAATATATTCGTTTTTAAATATACAGAGTGCCCCATTTTAATCACGTAGTTAACTCATTAAAAGCAACGTTGATCCAACATATTTTTTTAACACTTTTCTAATATAATTTATTCTCATTACAGTTACGCTAACAAGCAATGTCTAAGAATTAAAGAAATACACGGTCTGTTCAGAAAATAATCTAACTTTATTTTTTAAACTTTAGTATTAATTTTATACAGTATTGGTCCTTGTCCTTTTCAAAGTACTCCCGCCCCTATTCACGCACTTCTGCCAGCGGTGTTTCCATTTCGTGAAGCAGTCCTCGTTATCTTCATTTGAAATGGCCTTTAAAGTCGGTTATGAATTTGTTTGATGTCATCAAATAGTCTGATAACGGCGTCATTTCAGCACTGATTTTAATTTCGGAAATATGAAAAAATCGCAGGTGTGGCGAGTAAGGAGGGTGAGGGACAGTATTCTGATTTTTGGCACAAAATTGACGAACTGACTGAGTGTGTGGGCGCATTGTCATGGGATAAGAACCATGAGTTGTCTCGCCACAACTCTGTTCTCTGTTGCGAATTTTTTTTTTTAGAATTAAACCAAAAAGTGTTTAGGTTTTGAAATTTTATATTGACAAGTTGGTGATTGCGTGTCTCTTTTTTTTAGAATCAGAAAAAGCCTATTTAGGTATTTAATGTCGTTTTTTTATTTTTAGAAAGAGGGCATACGTAGAGCTTGTAGCCCCGGGCCTCACCACAGGTTAATCCGGTCTTGCGTAACCGTTGTAAAACGCCTTTATATTACACATGGTTCACTGTTTCACTTTCAGGTAAGAATTCAAAATCCATTAAAGTCGAAAAAAAAACTGTGAGCATTTTCAAAAGTTGAAACGTCTCCGTGAAGAATTTCCGCAGTTTCACGTTGCACCGCTGTTCTAGAAAATTGCACATTTCAAAAATCGTCACTAACAACATCACCAAAACTAAATAAAATATCAGCAATTCAAGAACATGTGGCTACAGAGGAGGCTATGCGCAACGCAATGCTGCCAACCGCATATAACTAAATATCTCCATAATTAAAAAAATCGGTTATTTTCTGAATATACCTCGTATTTTAATGAAAATGTTTGTCGTTTGATTTAATATCTTAATATTTTTGCTAGCCTAAATACTAAATACTAATTAAATCTCACTTATTATGCTTCTTGATTTGTAACTAATTAATTAAACTCAGCGTTTCGACTTATGCTTCACTGCTCACAAACTAAGAGGTTTACATAAAAATATTAGACAAATGTTGTTGCTTTTGATGAGCTAAAAATACGTGGCTAAAATTTTAGTAGTTATTTCTGGGCCACCCGTATACCGGGTGTTTCACCGAAGGCGGATTCTTCCATAGCTGTTATTTTAAATTTAATGAAAAAATGTTTTATATTAAAAGTTGTCTGAAATTATATTGGGCATCCCTGTAAAATATTTTCAGTTATATAGGGTGCCTCGCTTCTTCTGCACGATACACAACTTCGTTATTTTGAACAGAACACCTTGTATATAAGTGCTTTTTCGCTTTATTTTAGGTTGAGTTTGTTGACCATACATGTACCTAGATGCCGCAGCTTCCGAGATATTCGACTGTTTAAGTAGCATCTAAATTAAAAGTTACAAACATGCGGTTTAGACCGTTCGTTTCAGCACAAATTTCTCTATATTTTACGTTTTTGGAAAAAAACTAAGTTATTCGTGACCGGAAATATTAAGACCTACATTTGATAATCTTAGAAGATGAATAATTTTTTTTTTCTAATGGATTGACCCAAATTAATTGCTATTGTTGAATGTCAAATCAAATGTCCTTTCGATTGATATAAGGTTTGCCATATTTATAACAGTTTTCGAGAAAAATTCGGTTTTATTTAAAATTCCAAAAAAGTAGTTATCAACATCGGCAAGTAGGCTTTGCAATTTATTAATTAATGTAAAACTTTTTTTTCGAAGTTCGGCTCTTCTACCACGTTGATATCAAAAAAATATGGTGACTTTAAAATAACAGGTCCCTAAATTATACAAAAACAATCTAATTTGCTAAATGATTTTTTAACTTCGTACAATGTAGTTGATATAAAAGCGACTAATAACGCCGGTAGCGAGGAATACAACTTCATACGTAAATTCCGGGAGCGCTAGTTTACTCCGTTCAGGGGCGGCGTACACAAGAATTAAAGCACAGTTTAAAAAATTAATATTTATAACTCGAGTATTTATTTGATTACAAAAAAATAATTTCAGTATTCACGGCAACACGTATTATTATCCGTAAAAAACTGACCCCCACTTAAAGTTACACCCTGTATACACTATTGTTATTCATGCAAGGGCTACACAATTCCGAAAGATTGCTAATCCTTTCATGGATACCCTGTATTTCATTACTAGTTATTTCGACTTCATTTCCTTATTACAACTTCCAAAATGATATTTATTTGTGTTTCACAAAACCTATTGGTTACAGGTTGCCCACCTCTACCCGTAGAATACGTAAAGTGGTTCGACACACAAGCCATCGTAGCCATGATGTTTTCCTCAATGGGCTTCCTTAGTACATCGACCGCATTCTTCGTCTTCTTGAAATACAATAACACCCCAGTCGTGAAGTCATCGACCAAAGAGCTCTGCTACATCATTCTAGCCGGCATGACCTTGTCACACGCCTCTATTTTTGCTATATTAGCAAAACCTTCGCCTGTGTCTTGCGCCCTAACAAGATTCCTTCCCGGAATAAGCTTCGCGATGATCTACGCCGCCTTGCTCACAAAAACGAATAGAATAGCGCGGATTTTAGCGGGCAGCAAGAAACGTTTTCCCACGAGAAAACCGATGTTCATGTCGGCGGCCGCTCAGGTTGTTATAACACTCTTCCTAATTGCTATAGAAGTTTTTATAGCAGGCAGCATGCTCCACTACCAGGCTTCCGACATAAAATACGTGTATATGAGCCACAAGACGTTGTTAGAATGCAACACGACGCCGGAAGGCATCGTGACTCCGCTGTCGTTCGATTTCGTCCTCATTTTGCTGTGCACGTTGTACGCTGTAAAAACCCGGAACGTACCGGAAAATTTCAACGAGGCTAAATTCATCGGTTTCGCCATGTACACTACTTGCGTCATTTGGATAGCTTTCGTCCCGATTTACTTCGGAAGCGACTCGAAAGTAATAACGATGAGCATGTGCGTTACTCTGAGCGCGATGGTAACGTGGATATTCCTGTTCGTCCCGAAAATGTACATAGTTTTATTTAGGCCGGAAAAAAATAATCGGGCGCTCTTCACTACCACTAAAATTAGGTGCCACATAGGATCGAGGGTGGCCTCGGCGGTATCGGAGAAGAGTTCCACGAACAGCTGGAGAGAGAGCAGCACTTCGATAAGGGACATAGAGAAATGTAACAGGGAATTCGTTCCGCAGAAAAGGACGTTGTCTTGTCAGACAGGAAGTGAGCTACTTCAAGTTCTCTTCAACCCGAAAGTCCTTATGGAGGCGTGCTCGCCTATTCACAACTCGTGTGTGCCGAGGATCACGGAGAGGGATTGCTGCGAGGCCGACAGCTGCCAAGTTAAAAATATCACCATTAAATTGCCAGACAATCCTATCGACTTTAATTGCTTAACCGATTTAAATTTTAGTCAAATGTAGTTGAGAGCTGTAGTTTTAATTTCGTAAGGTAGTTATATTTTCTCTAGATTTACAACGATTTTTGCATAAATATTCAGATGGTCAATAACATCAAAATGGGCAACTCCATATACAGAAAGTTTCATCACGTATAGAGCGAACTTGAGGATCAGATAGAATAAGTATTATTAATTAAATTTTTATATTAGACTGATGCATAAAAGCATAAGTCACATCGAAAGGATAATGTTTAAAGATAGTATTATTTAAATATCTTCTTTTAATAGATACATTGCATTATTTGTTTTATGAAAATTTGGGTCATTTCTATTGGTTTTAAAAAGAAGAAAGTATCAAAGCAAAAAGTACAGAATTACTTCCAATACTTTTGTTTGGATTTGAAAATATTGGAATTGCAACGATGATACAAAAAATATTTTTCATCCAATTTTATCATGCAGGTTGCAAACTGAGAAACGTCGGGAAGAGAAATGTCACTATTCAGATATCATGTCAAGTACCTACCTAAAACGACTGACCTTGAAAACATGAACTACTACTGATTACTCTGTCTGTGAAGTATATAAGAAATGACATCAAACCAAGATATTAATTAATGAAGCGTAGTCAAATTGCATTTTTATGGCCTCGCCAGTCAACAGACTTCGGCCATCAAAAGTTCAAGTATAAAAGTGCAACTTTTTAGCCTATTTAAATAAATAAATATGGGAACTAAAAACTAACTGCAAAATTCCACTATTTTGTATTTATTTCCTTGGACGCAAAACAGAACGTAACTCAAAAATTAATTAGAATAACTGAATTATTTATCAAAATCAGTCACCCTAAAAATGTCACCTAATAAAGGAGGAGAGTCACTGGAAAATTTTAAAAAATGGATGATTTTCTAGCTTGGGATCAGACAACCAAAAATCAATCGATTTTAGCCCAAATGGACCCACCCCACACCATTGCCTTACATACCCCCCCAATAACCGATCCATATCCAACTACTATGACAGGTAGTAATGGTAGAAAAATGTCTTTTTACACATCCCTAGAGCCATAAAAGCAATATTCACTTATTTAGGGGCGAAACAGACCCTACCCACCTTCCCCTACGACGTCCAACTATTATAGTCCACAGTACAGGCCCCCTCTGAAAAGTTGATTACCACATACTTTATAACTCCTGAGGAGCTTCGTTTTGACGAGTCTACCACATTTTTCCTCTGCGACTTTTCTCGATTCCTCCGCTTTTCTACTCGGAAAAGTCCAAAAACATGGCAATTTCCCGGGGTCTTGAAAAGTCAAGACCACATCTTTTATTTTTAGCTTAAGTAACTGGAAATTTTGTTGCAAATGCCGATTTAAATTTGTCCGACAGAAATTCTTCCGACATTGACGTGTCTACCGGTCGAAACATGCCAAAATAACAGGGTATTGAAAATCAATTACCACATAGGTAATTTTTAGTAAAATTAATTGTAAATAATTAATTCAGTCAAAAAGTATTGTTGTCCGACAAATTTCAAGCCGCGTTTTTTCAGTCCGACAGCTGGAAATCGGAATTTTCACGGGGTATGAAAAATCGATTACCACATATCTAATTTTCATTTTTTCCACTTTTAAATTTACTGTACAAAATAGTGATATAAGTGTCCGACGATTTAATGTCCGCAAATTATTAAAAAATCAATAAATCAATAAACGTGATGAAATTTAATTTTTTCACTCCAAAAATTTCATATTTATAAATGGTTATTAATTATTATTATGTAAATTATTATTTGTTTCAAATAAATAATTATAATATTGCTTATTTTATGCTTAAAAATTTAAAAGTTATAAACAAATGAAGTTATTTTTGAGGCGATTAATACGATCTTAGTGCATAATGCATTATTTCTAAATAAATTAATATTATACTTGATATAAAAATCCTTTTTTCTCTTTCAAGTTTTCATTCGCGTTTGTTATTTTTCTTTACAAAAATTTTCCTATTTTTCTAAAAGAAAATCCCAAAACTTTTGTGCATAATTTTTTTACACCATACATACTTTTTTGAAATCGTTTAATTCTTTTCTCGATATTTATTTGGCTAAATTGAGCATATAGAGATTTACAATTACAAGAATAAAACGAAAAATATATACAGGGTGTTTCAGAAAGACCTCCCGTAAATAAAGGGGGTGATAGTATGATAAAAAATGAGAATTTTTTGTCTTATGAACTCTATGTCTATCTCCTCTTGTTTTCGAGATACAGAGAGACAAAATAAAATTTTTTAAATAACATTTTTATGAAAATTTCCAAATAGTGCGAAATATTTTTATGAAATTTGGTAGCCCGAGGTTTTTAAGGGTGCCAAATACGCTAGTCTAATTATTTTTTGTATATTTCATAGAAAGCGCTAGTTATGCTACATTCTTATTACAATTTAAGTTATATTTTTTTTAAGGTTAGGTTTTTTACCAGTCGGGCTCTAATTTCTATTGTACAATTTTATTTTCTAAAAATAATGCACTCTTGTTAGAACTTCCTAATGTGGACGATTTTCGAGAAAAAAGGCTTTTAATTAAACTCTTACAATATTACACTATAAAATAAGTGACTTTTCTCAAAGTAAGCTTGAGCTTTGAGAAGAGGAGATAGACATATAGTTCATATGACAAAAAATTCTTATTTTTTGTCGTCCTCACCCCCTGTATTTACGGGAGGTCTTTCTGAAACACCCTGTATTGTATATTTATATGGAATTTTGCTTAATACATGAAAATACCTTATTAGAAATTATAAATACATGTGCACATTTTTTACGAAATTTTTTTCATCATTTTTTGTCGGACTGACGATTTGCGGATATATTTTTGTCGGACATTACAATTTTTGCTTATAAAAAACACTTTTCTATCGTGTGTTATTTTTGTCCGACATGTGGTAATCGATTTTTCATACCCCGTGAAAATTCCGATTTCCAGCTGTCGGACTGAAAAAACGCGGCTTGAAATTTGTCGGACAACAATACTTTTTGACTGAATTAATTATTTACAATTAATTTTACTAAAAATTACCTATGTGGTAATTGATTTTCAATACCCTGTTATTTTGGCATGTTTCGACCGGTAGACACGTCAATGTCGGAAGAATTTATGTCGGACAAATTTAAATCGGCATTTGCAACGAAATTTCCAGTTACTTAAGCTAAAAATAAAAGATGTGGTCTTGACTTTTCAAGACCCCGGGAAATTGCCATGTTTTTGGACTTTTCCGAGTGGAAAAGCGGAGGAATCGAGAAAAGTCGCAGAGGAGAAATGTGGTAGACTCATTAAAAGGAGTTATAAAGTATGTGGTAATCAACTTTCCAGGGGGGGGGGCCTGTACTGTGGACTATTATGACAAGCAATGATGTTACAAAAACGACTAACGATCCCTAGATCAGACAAGAAATATTCAATTAATTTTGGTCAAAAGTTTCCCTGTTCGAGCTTCAGTTTACGTTTGCCTGACGGAGCTTCAGCTTTGTTTTGCCAGCTAGAGCCTCTATTAGAGTTTGAGCTTCCATGTCTGAGCTTCAGTTTGAGTTTCCCTGTCCAAGCTTCAGATTGGGTTTACCTGATTGAACTTTAGTTTGAGTTTGCTGTGGCGTTTCAGTTTGGTTTTAGGCAGCCTGAACTTCTGTTTGAGATACAGATTTCATGTCTCAGTTAGAGTTTCCCTGTCTGAGGTTCAGTTTAAGTTTAATTAGTGTTTAATTACACTCTACCAGCCCGTTATTCAGCCTGAGCTTGCCTGTCCGAGCCCTAGTTTGTGTTTATATGAGCTTCAGTTTAAATTTTCTGGCATTCCTGCCTGTCACAATAGTTGGACGTGATATGATTAGAATTATGGGGATGGATGTTGAATCGGTTTGGCCCAAACTCAACGGAATATTATTTGTCTGGCCCTAGGATGTATAAAAAGACATTTTTCTACTATTAATGGTTGATAATGATAATCAACCAACTTGAGAATTGATAAAGTACGCTATATTTCCTTTTAGTGAAACCAAAATATCTGCATATTATTGTTTCTATTTAATTTAACTGCTTGTTACAATTTAAGAACTTATGTGGATTATAATTTCATATGTTCATCATGAAATGTATAAAAAAATATACTGAAAATTATTTTTAATTCTTGATTTTTACACAGGGTGTTTCCAAAATATGTGTCATTGTTTCTTAATAATGGATTTGTAGTCTAAGTAAGTCTAAGGAATTAGATAGTGTATTTTTCATATTTATTACATAAAACATGTATTCTTTTCAAATGTATATGTTAATAATAATTTTGACGATAGCTTCTATTTCGTCTTGACAAATAGTAAAAAAGAAAAAGTGATTATTAAATTGTAATATACATATTCCATAAAAGTTCACAAGTTACAGCAATATTAAGAGCGGATAACAATAATTTTGTTCCAATTTCTGGACATTAAGAATTTCATGACCATGAAAAAATTTATTCTAACCGTATGGCTATATCCATTATTCAAATAAGCGTAAATTTAAACAATACATACAAACCTACTTTACTTATTTGTGTTCCGCTGCAAATAATGCTCATAACAATGTCATGGTTTTTAAACTTTTCAAACTAAAAGGTGCTTTCTACGAAAAAAAATAAGGACCGCAAAAACTTTTCATACTGAAGGCAGCCCCTCTGCATGAGACACTGCACTGTAATCCATATCTCAATGGTAATTGATCAAAAACCACATAAAAATGTTTCACCTCCATTCTTTAAAGGATCATAAGGCCTTTAAGAAACGTTTTAGGGTAATTTTTGTAAAATTTATTTGAATCAAAGCAATTAATACCCCAAGTTTGTCGCAACATCTCGTTATGCACTTTGTTAGAGAATAAAAAGTGAAAAATGATTATTTATGTAGATTCAATTTAATTTAGTTTTTTGGTTTCAACTAATGCATTCTATTTACTTTATATAAAATAAAATGCATGTGGTAATATTAATAGTCATTTGATGACACCACTCATAAAGATAATACTTGTCTGTTTTTCACGAATCGGCGAGGGTAAAATATTACGCTAGCTAGATCATTTATTACGAGCAAAATATTATTCCTTTGATACTTTCTGCATAAATACCGCCTCTGGAATGCAGAGAAGGTATATGACCTCTAGAAATGAACGCTAAGATAAGTGATAAAAACGACATGTCAAACGATTAATGTCAGCCATGAGAAAATCTTAAGTTGTTCTCTGAAAATTTAAAATCCTACAAAATATTACGAAATAATACATTCTAGAGAAATAAACTAGATCTTAACTAAAGGTACGTTTTCCCTTTAGTATATGTAAATCCCCTTGTAGATTTATCGACTAAAAACAAAATATAGGTAAACTTAAAAAATTATCATCTAAGGTTATTTGAATATTATATAGACATATGGTTTCTCTAGAGTTACCTGTATATAACGTACAAATTTACTTACCTGTGTTCACAAAGACCAACAATTAAACAATTTTGTAGTTTTATTTACTATATAGATTGTTTATATTATTTTTTCTAAATAAATTCTATAATAATATTTGCGTGTGATTTCTTTAAAACTACCCTTGTCTGGTATAGGGTAAATCAAGCACTTTTGCCTCAGCTAACAGTTTCTATCTCAACTTACTGGTGTCTTATGATATACAGGTTCGGAAAGTCCCCATGGTACATCGGCCGTTACGTGAGAGCGATAAAGTAAGTCATAGAAATCCGTGCGATAGACAAGGATGGTTACATTGAAGACGTTTCATAATCTGAATAGTCACTCCCACTTCTAACCCGAAACGGGCGGTGACTATTCAGATTATGAAACGTCTTCACTATAGCCATCTAGATAGACTATATGTCTATCGCACGGATTTCTTTACTTTACTTTGTCGCTCTCATGTAAAGTCAGATGAACCATGTGGATTTTCCAGCCCTGTTACATGAGCTTTTGTATTAAGCATTCAATTTTTGTTGAAAGATTATTATCAATATTATTTAATTTAATATTACTCCAAATTTTTTCAGTTCGGTTTAATATAGCTAAAACAACTGAGATCTAATGACATTTTAACTAAAAAATAAGTTTTGGAGTACTTTTCGTTAATCTAGAAAAAAATGTTAGTTATG